TATAGAAACATTATACTACTTTTATAGTTTGATATTTTTGACACCAATTTGTGAATGAAACTAATTCATTTCGTACGGTTATGCTGGTTACGGTAACTATTTTAGATGTGATGAATATAATTTAATATTATGTTATTCAACATATTATTATTTTTAAGTTTATCGTTAGCGAACAACACGTATTTACAACAATAATCTGTAATCTGTTTGTTAATATAAATTTATTTTATTATTATCCGTGTATTATAATTTCTAAGCATATATTGTCTGTAATATCGCTTCTGTTCAACGTGTAAACAGAGTATAATATTATTACCTACAAATAGTTATCATGCTTCGTGTTCTACATATTGTATGCTTGATGCTTCCGACCGACGAACAATTAATAAAATTGAGACACTGCCAACAAAATCTTTTTTTTTATTCTGATCTTAATTTGGGACTGTAATTTTTAGATTTTAAGTAGGGTAAAAAATCGATTGCTTTCAAAATAAAACGTATAGAAAATGTAAATTAACTGTTGAATTATTTAAAAATAATAAGTTCATGTATATTATAATGATAAGGTATTAAAATGAGATCTTAGCATGTTTATATAACAACGTTTCCATGTATTATTATTTTATTGCAGGTATTTTATAAACGAGAGAAACACCGACTTAGTGTACTAAATAATACATTTATACATTATGGTACATATATGTGTACTATGTAAGTAAACTTACTTGGTGTTATAGTTTCCAGAGTGTTAAATTGACTTTTTGACATAGGATTTTATCCGTTTTGAACATAATTTGTATTTTATTTAAACATACACTACTACTTTTTATTCATAATTTGATTTACAAATAACTTTTCAAATATTTCCAATTTATTAAAACGATTGTCATCATTTAATGATATTAAAACCAGCTTTGAAAATACAAAAATAGAGTATTCAGGTACACACTTAATATCATGTATCCATTATGTATTTATGTTTAAGTACCAGCTATCTATGTCGATATTGTATGACGTGTTCCTATTTAAATATTAAGTTTAAATTAAACCTTATTATAACTGCTTAAAAAAACAGTATTAATTGATTTAAAGAAAAATCAAAATAACTTCAAAAATATATAAGAATTGTAAGATAATAAATAATAATTAAAATGCTTCTTTAATTTTTTTTAAATAATTGTTTAGTATGAGATGGTTCAATATATTTTAAAAATTAAATATTTGATCTATGGTTTGTTATTTGAATATGTTATAAACTTATAAATTAATAAATATGATAAATTTAAAAATTTACTGTAAAAAACAAAAGTTACAATAATTTTTTAAGTAAGTAAAAAGTTGACAGTAATATGATAAATATTTATTTATTTTTATGATATATATGTTTTTTAGACTTATTTATTTATGTGTAATTTAAAAATTTTTTAATTCTTGAATTTTTAATTGTAATATTTTTATTGCCTGAGCTTAGTATTATTGATATATTTAAATGTTATTTTTCACAATTCAGAATAATTGTTTAATTTATTATAAAAAGTTCAATTAAATTTAGAACAAGAGATCAATATTTCTTTATATTTAATTGTGTAAATTATGTGTAGATAATAACTATTTTAGAGAAGCTTATGAAAATGTATTATATAAACAATATATATATATATATATATATATATATATATATATACAATTTCACCGATAAGAGTCAATTATTATCAATATGCATCATTAATATACCGAGTACCTATACCATCATACTATGGGAATAATAATACGGATTTCTGATCATCACGATTCATTAATTAAAATTTAAAGCATAGAATCTTATACGTTATTTTAAATGCACTTCACAAAATACTATTGCAATATTATAAGCATGTTTCTAATTATATAGCTGATATGTCCAACACTAGTACTCAAGATAAATATTGTCTGAATTTAATATCTTAAGACGATTTTACTCCTTAGTCCTTGGTATTTTTCTCAAATTTTATTTAAATTCTTTGAGAAAAAATATAGTCAATTTTAATCTCTATAATACGTATATATGATATTTCTTGGATAAATTTCGTTCAACATAGATTGTTTTAATATCAAGTTTGCTTTAAACAGTCATCTTACATTTTTTTTTTCGTATAAAAGTCAAAATTATTAAATATTTTAATGCTAACTTCCACGACTAAAACATAGAGAATCAATTGTCATATACTTAAAAAAAAAAAAAAAAAACTATTGCATTCAATCGCGAAAAAAAGTTAAAAACGCTTGACAATACTATTAAGATTAAAATTTAGCTATTTTTTTGGCAAAATGCAATTGTTTTGCTTCGTTTGCAATATAATTAAATAAGCAAATAAAATGATAGTTAATTGAACATTATAAAATGCAATTTGAAACTCGCAGAGGATCTGTTGTTGAAAGAAAAAATTCTGATAAACATTGTTTATAGTTATATAATTAAAGATGAAAAATGATAAATACTACTTTTTCAACATTCATGAAAAAAATAAATCAATTCATTTTTATTAAAATATTAACACATGAATTAAAAAACCTAAAACTTTTATTGTAAAAATATCCAATACCATCAAACTTTGGACTATAAATTTCAGTTGTATTCTTTTAGTTATAAACCTATATACATACTACAAAACTCTAGTCTAGTGGTCTCTAATAAGTCTAAGTTTATGCAAGTTAGAAGAAATTGATAATACAAGATTTTTTTATTAATTACAGTAAAATTAAGTAAAATTTTACATCACATTAATGAAGTATGCTTTGTCGGTGACCTTTTAATTCTTGTCGATTTTTGAGGGATATTAATTAAGTGATATTTTTTTGCCAAATCAATTAATTTTTATTTTTTATTTACCTATTTAAAAAGTAATAATTTATAATTGTTTTTGTTTTAAATGTTAGCTTTTTTCTTTGAAATTTGCTTTCTCATTTTCTGTTTGAATAAAAACAAAGTCTAAAATTACGAAGTTTTAGATTACAATAAAATGTTATTATTGTGATCAGTTATTTTTAATATTTTTCGTTTTATTTGATTGACAATTGGAAGTGATTATCTATTATATTATTATATTGAATTTTTATATATTTTACTGTGCAAGATTATTTTTGCCATGTAACAATATTTCTTCGTGGAATTGGATACGTTGTACAAAATATAAAAGTCTATTGAATTTTTCGATTTCTTCAAGTTATTATAAATAAAAATGGATTAAGAGAAATTAAAAATAATGTTTTTATAATGCAAACAAATTATAATATAAAATGTTTTGAATAATTAATTTATATAATTCTATTTAAGTATACTTTAATAAAGTTGAAATTAAATTCATAATTTTCAAAATGTAAAATTAGTATAATTACAATTTTTTTTATTATTAAAATGTGCTTATTTATTTTAGTTTGGTAGTATTTACACCTGATTATGCATATTAAATAATAATAAATGAATATTTGTAGTTTTAATTTTATATATATTTATATGTATATATTTAAGTATTGAAAATTCTTATATAAGATATTATTACAATTTTTGTTTTTCATAATATTAAGTAACAGCATAATTTTATGATAAAAATGTGTAAATAAATTTTGAATTTAACCAAGAAAAATAAAAATGAGAAAGGAATTATACCTCATGATCAAATTATGTTTTATAATTAACACAAACTTTTTGTCAATTACTCATAATAATACTCCTCTTCCCAAAAAAATCAATATCAGTTATGTATAAGAAAGTATATATTATGTGTAGAAAAACAAAATGTGTAGAAAATAATTCAAAATATTAAAAAAAAAAAAAATTAAAATATGCATTGATTTTATAAACTAAATAATCGAATAAAATAAAAATAACTATTTTAATAATACAATTAAAAAAAGCATAAAATCCTTCTTTTTAATTTTAATAAAATTATAGTTTAATACATAAATAAAAATTATTTATCTAAATCTAATAAAACATGTACAAAAAATAATTATCAGACATTTAATGAGTACACTTTAAAATATTATTATAGATCAATGAAATTACAACATCATGTGAATTGATAATTTTATGTTATATTATTTTATATTTTAAAGAAACTTAATAAAATCAAAATAATATCTATACGCATCTTTAATTTTCAAACTTAACATATTTTATAGTTCATTTGCATCTACATAGAAAAGTTATGATATCGTTGAAGTGGGTGTATAGTGTATACTTCTTACACAACAACTTTTAAAACTGATAATTATTTGCAGTTAATTTGATAATTGTATAAAATAATGGAAATGACCTTCTTTGGGATTAAACATAATACAATACTAACGAATAACTTCAAAAACAAATTACCTATATAGTCGGTAGTAGATAAATTTAATTTAAATTAATTTTAAATTAAATCCAATACTATATAGTTGTGATTTTTAAAAGAATCTCTTTATTTTTGTTCGATGTATGATTAGGATTGTTGTTGACTAATGGCTAATATCTGAATCCAATAATTATCTATATAGGATATTCAACATTGTTTATGAGTTGTGATAAAAATTGTATAATTATTGGACGATACTATGAGTACACAAATTTAACTGCATAGATAAATTTTTGACTTTTATGCTTGTTTGAAGTTAAATAAAAGTTGTAAAATATCTTAACTAACCAGTGGAGTAGTTATGATTTTATTCTTTGGGGAAAGATATATAATTTATCGGATAAACATAAAATGGGGGTCTTATAACCATACTCTTACATTGCATATTAAATCCGTGATTATTATATAATATGGATAATTGTATAATCTTATATCAAGTATAAGTCAATAAATTAAACATTAAAAAAAAAAAAAAGTATCTTAAGGGGATCAATCCCCAATATTATCTCCCCCATAACTACACCACTGGAACCTAATATTATTCATAGGATGTACCGAAAAACAGAATTATAATAACATAATATATTATAGGAATTAGGCATAGTGTTTATAAAGGACTGCACTTACCTCAAATGGTATGGCGAAGAGTGCGATGAGTATGTCGGCGAACGCCAAATTTGCCAAATAGTGATTGGTGACGGATCGCATCCGTTTGCTGGTGACGATGGCCCATATCACCAGCCCGTTTCCGGCCACAGCTATCACTGATATTGAACCATAAAGCACAGATAGAACGACAACCAATAGGGCAGGCACCTTATAAAGATCGGAGCTCGTTTGGTCGTGTAGCAACGTGTCGTTGCCTGTGATATTTACAGTGGAATTTTCCGTGATATTTGCCGTGAGATTTTCAGTGAAATTTACCGCGATCTTGGTTGCGATTTCGGTGGCGGCCATTGCACTTGGCGACGGCGACTTCGGCCGAAATGTGGCAACATCGGGATGTCAACAGTTATGATGCCCGCTATTGGTCGCGGGCTTTGCGGCGTTGCCGTCTTGTCATGGCGCCTCGCGGACTCGACCGATACGACGGTGGAAGTAGATCAAAACTCACCGTTGACAACGACCGGAAAGACACGCACAAAAATGTTTAAAACAATTTATTTAAGATTTGACGCGCTCGTGAATAACGGACATTAAGTTGTTTGAGAACGAGTAAATGACAAGTATATGTTGCTAAAACGACGATCGGCCACAGTATCGATTAGATATATTATTATTAATCGTACACAAATTATAGTAACGTATCCACACACACCAGAACTGTTGTAATCTTAAAAACACTCGACACTGCGACGACGGTGGCGACAGCAGACTGGCAATAAATATATTAGGCGTTCGACGATCGTATCGTATCTAACCTATTGACAGATAATGATAAAATATGTTATAATATTGTTTAAGACAAATACATCATTATTACTATTATTATTCAGTGATCTGCGAATATTTTTTTCACAATTGTTTTTTAGCTTCCTGTTATCATGATTAAAACATCTATTCATCGTTATAAAATGTACATGTTATTTTGTTTGTTTGAAATTAATAAACAAATAGTATTATTTATTACTAGATATTTTACGTCATTAAATTGTAGGTAGGTATAATAGTAATAAAAAGTTTTTTATTTCTCCTTCTTTCAAAAGTCATCAAACGTTACTTTTTATGTATCTACAATTTTTTTGTCCGTCTAGGATACTAAAATAAATATTTCCATTTTTCATATTATGCGCACTCAATTCTAAAACTATATTCAGTGGTGTATAAATTAATAAAAAATATATTAGGTATAATTTTGTTCTTATTTTATTACGAAAATATATAAAATTATTGATATAAATAATTTGAAGATTATTAAATTTTTATTTATGATAATTGAATTATTTCATATTTCTACAACCTACATTATTTTTACATGTCATATTTTATGAAAATAATTTTATTTTATAAAACTCATAACACCAATAATCAATACATAAATTTAATTTAGGTACGAAAAAAAAAAAAAAAAATTAAAATGTGTAAAGAAAATTAAAAATACAATACACGAATTTCGAAATTCAGAATTGAAAAAACAATCAATATTAAATGGATTGAAAAATCGAGAATACCAAAATAACACAGTTTTCTAATGTAGTGATTCATATACTATACTCTGCAGAGCTCTAGGTTTTTGCGAGAGTAATCTATTTGGGCTCATACTGGACGCATCTGTATTACTGCAATAAATTCAAGTATTATTATATTTATTAATGATATAATTACATTTATTTTCAATATTATTTAGATCACACCAAAATATTATTTGAAAACGTACAGGTATTTAAGCTATTAATAAACTCGTATATTTTGTGTTGTACTCAAAAATGAGATTAGATACAAATCGGGTATTTTTTTTAAATTTTACGTGTATGATAATTTAGTTTATTTATCATGAGCATTTAATGCGAAAGAAGTTCTAGTAACTAAACCTGTTGAGTAACTCTAACTATCAAACACATAATAACTTAATGTCATTAGTACACAAAGAAGGGAACTAAGGACTAGCTCTCTGGATGCTGCCCTGAGACTAAATTCAAAAACCACTAAAACATTTCGTTATTATGAAAAACATTTTTTTATTTATGGGCTATAGCTAGTATAATATTATATTTGATGCGGAGTTAAAACTAAAATATATTATTAATATCGTCAAACAAGTAACACAAACAAACAAAATTGAGGTAGTTATATTCCTATTTTCGTCACACACAAACAGTATACAGTCACTTTGTACAGTCCATTTCTAAAAATTTAATACGAAGATACTTTTTACGGTTGGATAAAAATATACGTTACAAAATGTGGACAGTTTATATTGTAAATATACTGATAAAGTGTACATAATATAAGGAAGTTTTGACAAATTAGATATATTAAAAATGTTATTAAGTTCGATGAGATTTACACATTTTTTGGTATCTAATAATAATATACGTATAACGTCATATCAAATCATATCAAAAATATGCGCACAAATTGTTATGAGGTGTAATGTTCAAATAAAAATGTTTAAAACATAAACAAGTCGTGTTATGAATAATATATTATGATAAATATAATAAAATATAGTCAAAATTGTCAAAATAATAAATATAAATACAAATTTTGTTTATCAAAAAAATTTAAATGTATCTATTTGGTTTCATACAGTTTCACAACATTTATTTTAAAAGTCTATCGCAGTCGAATCACGTCTTATTGTTGTATTATTTAAGAAGTGTGGATGAAGGTTTTTTTCGTTTATGTCAACGGTCATTAAATGGCGACCAGCCACGGCCGGCCGAATTCGGTCCGCAGACAAGGAAAAAAAGTAAAAACCAATAATAAAAATACGTTGATTTTTACCTGTAGAAGCAGATATTATATTAGTTGCCAAGCAGTTTTTATTGTAATGAAGATAGCGTGCACGAATTATACACCAATAATTTCAAGCAGCTAATTGAGAGCAAGACTTGCCATTTTTCCCACTAATTTTAATCCAATTTTCTATTAATATTACAATTATTATTAATTTGTATTTTATATTTTTGTTTATTAATACTAACCCCACTAGGTAACCATAATACTTTTGCATTATAATATATTATATTATTAATTTAGTTATTATATTAAATATAATATTTCAAAAATATTTTCTTTGCATTTTAATGGCCCCCGGAAATTTTCAAATTTCTCAATGTGGCCCTTCAAAAATATTAGTAGGTGACTCTTGTTTTAAGTATAAAAAAGGGCCACTCAAATTGTATCCACATTTTTTTAATTTTGGAAATTATACAAGAACTCGAAAATGGTATCGGCAAGCGGTGTTATAGTTTTTTTTGACAGGTAAATAAGGGTTAGTAAGTTATGACTCTTTAATAATATGTATTACAAACAATACCAATGTAAATGTCGATCAAAACATTTTGTTCAATTCTCGATATATGTCTATAATATGCATACATTTAAAAAATTATATTTATTTACTGTTTTGATAATACTTTATTGTTTCCTATTTTATATAACTTTTAATTTTTATTAACAATTAAAAATTATAACATTGGTTCTAACTTTTAAGTATTAAATACAGACAAAACAAAAAAAAAGTTTTTATCATTTATGTTTTTGACATACAGTTATCATTCATTATTTGACTGAATTATATTGTATAATGTCCTAGAGTATTTGTTAAATACAATTGGTAAAAGGGAAAGATTTAGATATTTTTAAGGCATTCATAAGTCGTTGAGATATTTTTTAAATATTTTTACTTTTTCTGTAATATTTATAAGTAAATATAAATTATTTAAATTGTTAGTACATACCTATACATTTTTTTTTTTTGACACTTTTGACACTTTTGAATACTTTTTCAATTTCAATCCTCTAAATCGCTTTTGGTACTATTATATTGTTTATATTTTAATTGTTTAATTTTAATTTTAAAAAAATTGTATATCTTCATAATATAATGTATATAGTTATGTTTATTCTAACCAAGTACCTAAATATATATTATATGAAAATTAAGTATATGAATTTTTAGGTATTTATAAGTTTTAAATTGTACGATTCAAAAATATTCCTTATAGAATAATGATTCCAAAAACTATCAAAGAAAAAAGCTGATAGAAATATCTCCAGTATATAAATGTTGATAAAAAATTCACATTGCTACAAGTAAAGGAATTATTTAAAATTTAAAATATCTAGAATCAAAATAATTATTTATTCTTATATTATGTAGGTACGTTTTTAAATTATTTATTTACCTATAGATTATAATATATTATTTATATTCACCAATAGATATTTTTTTTTTTAAATGTAAACGTGATTTTAACGTGAATTAAATAATTGTTGCGATTATTTAATTTAAATCTAATACAATTTAAAACGTGTAGACAGCTACTATTTTTAACATGTAATCTATTTTTTTGTTTAATATCAATGACATACTCGTACTTAAAAATATAATTGAATGAATAAATATCATCATATTATTTAAATGATCATCTCTTAAAACCATCAAATTAATAATAAATATTAAAACATCCTTGATCATATTTTATTTCCTTTCCTTTTGTCTATATTAAGAATAGATCATATAAAATAATTTTAAATAAAGTGAAAGTACTTTTTATTGTGTTAAGCTAAATTATATTTTTTATGAGCTATTTGAAATGATATAAAAAATAAACAATTATGATAAAATGTTGACTTTTACGCACTGGGAAGTGTCCAAGACTAATTTTTGTTATTTGTTCATTTTCTAATAAGAAATTTAACAGTTGAATAAAGATTAAAAATAATAATATTATGGTGATGAAACATGACTTAGTAGTTAATTTTTACTCAACATTGGCGTAATAACTGTTTCGGAATTTTAAATTCAAAAACAAAACATACAACTTAAAAATAGTTACGATTTTATATGCTTAACAAATATGTTATGATAATAAAAATTATATATCTACACATAAATATAGCAGATACGCGAAGAAAACTTTACTGTCAATTACCGAATAACTTACACACTGTTTGAAGATGGAAGAAAAAAGAGAACATAAATTTGTATTTAGATATACTTACAAAATATGTGTTTTTTTTTTTTAAGTAATGTTTTTTTTTTTTATTATTATTATTTATTTTTTTTTTTTTTATAGAAACAATTTTGATAGCATAAAAATCCCAAAAATCATTTACGAACAAATTTCATCGGATGTGAAATAGTACGAAAACATAAATATACCGTTTCTTGGTAAACGATCTGACCGAGATCGACGGAATTAATTTTTCAGAAGGGACCGCACAGCACGCTTTTCCGGGTATACTGAACGTGCTCGCGCCTGCCGTTGCGGCGCGTTCGACGTTTGGCGGCGTAAGCACGAGACGCCGCTCTGGCAGACTTGCCAGCGACACGGTATTATCGTGCGGGCGATTTTAGTGGAAAGTTTTCGTTAAGTTTATGGACATTTTGATTTTCAGTTGATATATTTTCAACGATGCTGACAAAATACGGCTATTGCGGTTATATCTTAGTGTGATTTAATTTTTTTCGAAAAACTCTTCGAAAAGGTTTTACGCGGCGCATAATCAAATATCTAAACAAAGTTTACGTTTTACCGATGACATTTAAATAGTTTTACAATAGCCTCAGAGAAAACCAAGAAATGCTTCGGAATTCGGAATACGTGAGCGTGCGGTATACAATAATTGATGTAATAATATAGCTTAAGCGCAAGAGCAATAACCACAAATTATCTCTAAACACTGATTTTGGGAGCACCGAACTCCGCATAGATTTTTGCTGGATAATTTACGGAATTTAACGATTTAACATCGGTTTTAAATTTAAATACAACAGCCTCCGGCTTCCCTAAACATAAGTCGTGATTATTTATTTATCTTTTAAGATAATTTTAAGGGTACCTATACCGGCTATTAAACCGCAGAACGCTTTTTAAACCCGGAAAATACCAACTTGAGATGATGGATTTTTCTCGTTTTCATTTAATGGCAGTAAAATCGTTATTATATAACGTCATAAAAGGCATCTGATTCGCAAATGGTGGTCTGACAAGTCACGACGGTGGATACCAGCGAAGGTGGCAAACCAAGGTGACGACGATGTGTACGTTTTTGACAAATATAATTGTGTGGTACATCGCGTCTAATAATAACAATCACAACAATAATAACAATAATTAAACACCAATAGCGATATTAGACGTATTTTTTATTGTCCGTTCATCCGACGTACGAAGACACGCGAGATACGTACAATAATGTACGACTTGACGTGCACGACTTGGTTGATGGCCAAGGTCAAATTTTTTCGAAAATATCGTCTTTCTGTGTATATAAACGCTTATAATCTTGAATGAGACTTAAGTTCGTTATTGTCCGATAAACACAGTAGTAGTCGATTTTCTCAGTTTATCCGCCGAAGAAGACAAAATGATTACCGCCGTATACCGTTCGGTAAGTCCAAACGTTTGTTTCTTGTTTTAATAATTTATAGGTATAAGTATAAAAATGTATTAGTTCGCTGTAGCTTTAATTATTTTTTAAATTTTTCGTTTTGATTTTTCAACGCACTTATTATAAATTGTTATAACAGCTATATATTATTATATTTCGCATCGTCAACAAACGTCAAACACACGGACAATCAAGTTAACATAGTTTTTAGATTTTTAATTTTTAGTCATAAATTAATTCACAGTTAAGTACTATTAATATATAAAAGTTAAATCAAAATGCCGTTATCATTGATTTTTAGAGTAACAATGAAGCCGAATCTTAAATTTTATTTTTCTTTAATTTACCATCGATTATGTTTTTTTTTTTTTTTAAATACACATTATTGTGATAAAAAATTTGAAAAATAACGTGAAGAATATTGATTTATTTTAATGGTGCTTTCTTATTATACTTATACATACCATTTAGTTTATTATTTCTAACAATTTGGAATAAAAAATCACAAACCATGAAAGTATTGATGATATAAATACAAAAAATGTTATTTTACTTCCTAGTATTTCATTGGTAAGAGTTTATTTTTACTGTTGACATTATTTCTTGTATACTATTACAACAAACATTATAATACTATCCCTAAAATAGCTTTTTTTATTTTTAAATAACTAAGAGAAAAATCTGTCTTTAATAATATCATTATTTTTCTTATAGACCCGCAAAATATTTTTATAGTAAGTTTAAACGAAAACCAGCACATTAACTCAACGAATAATTTTTATACATTGGTTCTATGCGTGCATTTATCGGTGGGATAAAAATTATCTGAGTAAAAATATATAGATATAACTTTATATGGAATAAACATTCAATAAAAGTTAATTTCAAACTACTTATTATATACGTTAAAATATTATATTAAAATTACATGAGAATTAATTAAATATTATTATTTATTATAATCATTATCATTCTCACGCATTTAAGATAAAATTATTTAAAACTATAACAAAAGTCTTATTCATTAAACTTATTATTATATCAGCTATTTGTAGAATTATGTATTAAACAAAATTATAATATTTTAAGAATGTATCTTAAAAATATTAAGTCAATGAAAAAACATAATAATATATTTATTATTATAAAATAGATAATATACAATTATACTTTATACGTATTTAACTCTTAAAATCTATTATTATTGATGTATTTACAAGAAAATACAAATGTTGAGTTCTAAGCAACTTCGATTGGATCACAGAGGTCGTATACTAACGAGTTTATTACTAAAAAAAGGTAATTTGACAAAAGTATAAAAGTATAATTACACGATTGTACAAATGTAGTAACGTGATATTTTAGAAAATATAATTAATCATATTACTGTGTTTTTACTTAACGTAAACGAGCAAAGATACATAAAGCATTGACTTATGCGAACCAGAGTGGATGTGCTAATACCCCTTATACACAGATCTTTTTGAAAAGTCCTAATCTCTGAACAGCTTCACATAATATTAACTAATCACATTCTGCAGTGACAATCGTAGCTAAAACTCCATTTTATTATAAAATAAACACATTATATTTGGGATGTTTTAAATGTATGTACTTTATATCTCTCTCGTAGTTTTATATGGCTGCCTTGTAACCATAATTGTATATATATATATATATCTTACTATATTATTTACACGATGTGCGTATAATTTTTCTCATTCCACCTAACTCTCTATAATAAATTATATGAATTAATGTCGTAGTTGGCGTTGCTGTGCATAACGTTTGTATGCGGTCACGTCCTAGCGTATCCTTACAACGGCAACAACATGCAGTGGTCGAACCCAGGGGCTGGTGCAAACTACCATCAGCAGCCAGGGTTTGGTGGCAATGTGGGCCAACAACGTGGATATAGTGGTGGCGCAGGATTCGGCGAAGGCAATTTTGGGCGAGCTTCGGCGTTTGGTGGACAACAACGGTGGCAGTCGGCTGGTTACAACGGTCAACAGCAAGGAGCCGAGGCCTACCAGTCAAACATTTTCAACGAACCAGACCGGTATGGTTATGATTACACGATTCCCGGAGCTACTGTACACTTTTTGATGTATAAAAAAAGTGAGTATGTCTTACACCTTATTTCCGTTGGGTAAACAGCTAAAAGAGACTTTGTAGTCATCGATAATCCTATCATAACTTATAAAATATGCATAATATACATATGATATCGTCATACCTAATTATTTTATTTAAATATTATAGTATATAATATGTATGTAAATAATTATTTACTAATATATGGGTATAATGTATGAAGTTAATTTTATTGTTATGAAATATTATATTGAACAAAAAGGAAATCAACCACCAAATTTTGACACTATAAAAAATAAAATTAGATAGTAAAGATATAATTTTTATTTGATTTATTTTGTTATATATTTTTTCTTTATTTATGAGTATGAAGATTTAAGTATTTGTATTACTTTGTTATAAGTCTATGGAGAGGATTATCTGGGGTAGAATTTGAATAAAAAACGACTTTTCTTATAGGATTTGGATAGTTTGATGGACGGGAACGAATTTGTTTGTACAGGATTTGGTCACTGCTTTAATAGTTTTCATTTTTGAACCTAAGTGAAGAGTTTAGTTTGACTTTTAAATTAGATTTGAGTTTTTAAGATAGGTAACAAATTTACATAATATAGTTTTATATAGGAAGAAAAAATAATGACTACATTTTTATGAACTATCATTGAGCACGATTGCACAATATTCGGTTTTGATTGATAGCTACAACTGTGAAACACGCATATATTATGTTTTGATTAAATTCTACAAAGCATTGCGTTTTATTTCATGTCACATTCCGAATGAAAAAATTTACAGATCATAAATATTATAGACCTTTTAATTTTCCGTTCTTTAGTTTTAGTTGATAATTATATAGGACACATTGACGTTATACGTCTAACTGTAATCCTAAAAGATATTAGTTATTTGCAAAATATTATTAATAATTAATTAAAATAGTATATATTATGAATAACTGCAAACATTAATATAAAAAAAAAATAAATATATCCAATAACTAAAAGACAAATTACATTAAAAAACATTAACCACAGGAAATAAATTATTGTAAACATAACATAAAAACCGTGCATTTATACGAATTTGTTTAAAATATTTGAGGTTTTTATTATCCTTAGTCAATGCCATTAATGTAAAGGATATTTTTGTTGACTTTCATTTTTCAAACAACTATGCTTCTCACTTCACGACATTGGACAAGCATAATAATTTTCCGGGCAATACACACAAGTTTTTAGTATAACTTCATAGTTTATAATAAATGTACTATAATAGATCAAAAAAAAAAAAAAAAAAAAAAAAAAAAAAAAAAAAAATACATTTAGAAAAAAATAAGCTTAAATGAATATTATAAAATATAATAAGTTAATTTTTCAACCGATCACAAGTTTTTAAAATATGTTAAACTAAATGTTAATTTTGACATTTATATTCTAGGCATATTTTAGAATTATCAAGGCAAAAATCTATAAATATTTAATAGATCTAAATTATTTATCTTGATTACACTCTTGGAGAATAATTGTTTCCTAAATTGTCTATAAAATAATATGGATCTCAGCTAAAACTAAAACTTGCGATAGATGCAATTAAAAAAAAAAAAAAATAAAGACCAAAAGTGAATGTGGTAGGTACAAATTCTATTGAAATAATTAAAATTAATACTGAAAATTTAACGTGAAAGGATTGCAGAAAGGTTGAAAAATGTTGTCGGATTCAAGGATTCAAGTGACAAGTGTTATGCTTCCATAATAAGTATTTTTCCCTGTATTCGGGAACGCATAAAGTTTTGAGAGACACTTGCTGGATGGAGGGTGAACTAAGATGTCCTCGTACAAAAGACGATATGTCGGAAGAATTAATTGTATATTATATGGCACTGAGTGGAATTAAGGTGTTCAGAAAATAACTCTTACATGAAAGCGTTCGTTTGTATATGCGAACGCAATCATGATTACAGTCAAGACTGCATTCATTTGTGTATACGAACCCAGTCATGAATGCAGTCAAAACTGACTTCATTTGTACAAAGTATGTTAGTTTTAGCGTTCGTGCGCTTCGTGAAAATTAGTGAAATATTTCAAACTTAGAAAAACTTGTTTACTCGTAGTACAAATACATAGTATTAGGTATGACATTTAATTTTTTTCTACATTTAACAATAGGTATATTGTTTACTCAATATATCTTTTAGTATAGTTACTATTACATTACATACATTAATAACCGTTAAATTTCTCATCAATAAATAACCATGTAAAAAATATTGCTTATTATTTTAACCATGAATTTTAGTGCTAAAAATATTTAATTAACAAAATAATTTGCTGATAGCCGCATGCTTATTCTGAGCCATATTTTGAAATTTAAACGAATAAAACAGTTTAAATAAATTTATAAAGTAATAATGATTTGTAATATATTACTTAATATCTAAGTGGCGAACTAACAATATAAAATTTTAGGAACATGGCTTAATCCAGTATCCTAGTTTGTCAAAAATTTTAAACTATATCCTTAAACGGATAATACTTAATATACTCTATCTATTTAAAAACAGTAATTACTTATAAAATAAAAAAAACACATATAACTTATCTACATGTGGAAAATAATAAATAAAATCATCTTATACAATCAAATATTAACACATTTATTTGACTGTCATTATAAAAAAGATTTTGTTTTCAATATTTTTATAGTTTTATCATAATATTATTACCTATTCTTGTTTTCCAAATATAAAGCAATCATTTTTAACAAACGTAAACTACTATAAGTTTAAATGTATTATTTTTGTTGTAATATAAATAAAGTGTATTATGGTAAAATGTATTTTTACGGGCAGGTACGTCTTTAATATTGTGAACTTTTTTTGATGATAGACTCTTAGAAATTTTATCCACCATAATTTTTCATTAATGTGAGTTATCTATAAATTTCAGTACTTTACTAAAAAATGACTATAATTTAACCTTTGTTTATTTTTAAAATTTAATAAATATAATTCATTCAAAATAAAAATTTGAAGTTCAGAAATAGTAGGCCTTTCATGGCATATAAGTAGGCATTAAAATTAATGTTCGCCAATAAATTAAAGTTAAATTAAAAATTGTCTACGTTAAAAAATAACATTAATACACATCCAAATAACCGTTTTATTGTAGTATAATATGTGACCATTATATATAGTCAACTTTTGCGTGTGTCATATTATTTTTATATTTATATATTTTTCATCTTAGTTAGATTCAAACTTTTTATACTTGAACACATATAGTATAATGTATTAATATTTCATCAATTAACACTCACAAGCTATTTTAAAGCTATATCCTTAAATACATTCATTTTTACAAAATTAGTTTTTAAAAAATATCATTGAATAAAAGGCTTAGAATATATTATTTAAGTAAAATAATAATAAATATATTTATATATTTTGATTTTATTAACATAAGCTGCAAAAAACATGTTATATATTTACTAATAAGCATTTTTTTTTTTAATCTTTGCAAAGTTAAACTGCTAATGAACACCAAAATATTATTCCATAACTATAAAGGTAGTATTGAAATATTACTAACTGAAATTTGCTAAATTTATTATGCTATTTTCAGAATTTTTTATTGTCTACTTTATGTAAATAAAAATAAACGACTTGATACAGTACATGTTAAAATCAGTACGAAAGTACGGAAAGCATAGAAACTTTTAACAACTTTTTGATACTTTGCTTAAATTTATATCCTAAGCCCTAAGGTGACAGAGTAAACTCGTTGACATATACTATAATATTTCTAAATACGATATGAAATTATATATATGATGTATGTACCTATACTTGTTTATAAATCGTTAATATATTTTAATGACTAGTTTTAAATTTTTAGTTATCAACTTTAATATTTAAGTATAAAACTGTTTTCATAATGTAGATAAGACATTGCCTATTATAATTTATAATCGATTGTACGATAATTCACTTTTTTTGTAAAAATATTGAAATTATTAATACTGATAATATCTATTTATTTTAGAAGGAAATAGAGGATCCGGAAATAATAATCATGGCGTGGATTCAAGTGGCTGGGACAAATATTATTAAGACGTTTAAAAACTCACAAAATTATAATTATTACATTTAATTATTATTATGAAACATTATAATAATTAAAATATGTCTTGTTAAATTTAAGAATATTTACTGTGAAATATTATAGATAACATGTGTGTACCTAATACAATAATGGTTAAAATAAATATTGCATTAATGTTGTAAGCGATCTTAATACTATAGTGTTGTAATGATTTTTTTTTTTTTTTTTTTTTTTATCGAAATAATAGTATTATCAAAATAAATCACTCAAAACTTAAAAAAATAAATAAATGTGTTAATTATTTTGGGTACAAATAATATTAAAAGTAATAATTTAATAGATATATATAACAGATATTTTAATATTTAGTTTTGTTCTTTATTTGATAATATAAATTTTTTACTTTTAGTATTTAAAAATCTACCAGATTCTAGTAAACTTATTTATTTAGCTTTTTAATTTTATATTGGCTCAACAATATAAATACGTTTTTTTAATAATTGAAAGTAAATTATGTTATACAATTACACTATTCAATTAGTTTAATTTAATATAAATAAATATTTTATTTTATTAAAATATTATCAAAAATTTTGTAGCTTATATCAATTTAATTTAATATATATTTGTTTCAGTTCAATTTTTCTATATTTTATGGATAAACTGAAGTTAAAAAAAAGTTAAAATAACTAGAATTGTATTTAATATAATATATCATAAATCATTATATATAGATGATTATATCAAATATCAATACCAGTTTATTACAGATTATTGTTTAAAAATTCATCTTAAAAGTAAAACACATTATTTACTATCCTACTTCTTAAATTCATATAGATATACTGTATAGTAAATACCATTATTACCACATAAATTCACGCTGAAGTTCCGTTACTTAAATGGTTTTTCTAATATTTCTTTAACTTATTTTAATAAAGAAAATTAATGTTATTACTAGGTCTAGGAATGTAAAATACCTTGAAAAAATTACTTTTGTATCTTAAAAATTCAAAATAATGCACTAAAACAAATAATATTCTTATTCTTTTTTTTTTTTTTTTTAATGTAAAAGTTTTTTTTATAAAACTGCACCATTTTAAGTTTTGTACATGGACCTTTAATATTATAAATAAATTGTTCTTATTTAATCAGTTTTTACATCTTATGAATTCACACGAAAAATATGATTGAAAAATAATAATATTCGATTAGGTAAAAACATTTCATAGTTATTTTTATAAATATTAACTAATAAAATAAAAATTTTTAAAATAGATAAGTGGTACATGCTTTAAAAACAAAAAAATTCTTAAAAATGTATATTTTTAAAAAAAAATACAAAATAACAATGTTTTATTCTAATTTAAAACGACATCAAATGTTTATTTTACTATAAAATTATGCTTTGAAAAATAATAAAGAGTGCATAAAAAACTCAGCTCTAGTTATCAAGTACGTATCATATATTGGCAGATTTTTAATTATGAAAATAAAAATAATTATTATGCACAGTAAACTATTTAACGTAAGACACTCAAAAAAGTGTTAATAGTTAATATTTTCCAATTTTTTTTTTTATTTAAAAAAAAAATTATCCCTTATTATATATATTAGCTGTTATTTTTGGGATTGAAAATATAATTAACTTTTTTATAAAATTTCAAAAATTAATAGATTTATTTTTATTTTTTTTTATGGATTTTCATGGTAAAAATGTTCATTTTTTAAAAATCTGTTAAGATGTTTAATAAGTTAAATATTTTTTGGAGGGGCTTTAGTATTTTTTGTTTTTAAGACAAGAAGTTAAATATTATCTACGTTCTTTCCAGTCAAAAAATAATAATCAAATTAGTTCGTGTAATGTATATATTTATTGTAATACTAAAGTAATTGATCCACTTCATTTCACATATTCATAACCTTTGGCATAAAATACTCCAATTAAAACATCACATATTTCATATTTATTTTGTTAATCTTTTATAATTGAAATTAAATAAAATGTTTTAGTCATATTGTAAAAACTCTAGAGCCCTTGACATTGTTGTTACTAATCTTACTTGCAGTTTTAGGTCTTACAATTTTTATTAAATTTTAAAATATTATTTGTGTGATAAATTTAAACTATAATGATAGGCTTTTGAAAGTATATTTTATTTATTTTATTAAAACCTTTTTTGAAATGTGAAAATAAAATAATAAATCTTGAATTGTCTAATTCTTTTAACAGTAAATCAATTATAATTGTACTAACATAAAATGATTATTATTTTGTAATACTGTTTTTACACAGAATATGTTAATAAATTAGAATAATGAATAAAGAATAAAACAATTATTTTTGCATAGTTTTCCACGTATATCATTTTGAGTAGGATATTCATACGACCGCATCATTAGTTAAATTATATCCATAATATATTCTTAAAATGTCTATTGATATCTCGTGTTTTTTTATTATTATTATTATTATTATTTGTCCTATAATTATTAATTATTGTTAGTAATATTAGTTAAATATTTAGATAAATACCTTTTATATACTTATGTTAGTATATTTTTATTTATAATTATCTTGTTAAAGTAGTTAAATTTATTATTCTCTTTTATCTATATACGAGTATATATATATATATATATATGGATAGATAGTCATAGGCTGTAAATGTTTTTTTTTTTTTTTAATAATAATAATAATAAAAAAAAATATATTCACACCAAATTTTATGTCAAAATGATTTCTAAGACATTTTTTAAATATAAAATTGTAAATAAATTAGGTATACCATATACTACTATACTACTGTTCAGCGCATAGTTAAACAAAATAAGTGTCATGCAAAATATATATGGATACTCCTATACATAAATTGTAAATAATTGATTTTAAAATATGTCTCAAATTTGTTGTTAATATAATTCTTAAATTATAAGATGTTAAATTATTATTAAAAATTTTATGGACGGATAAAGCAATATTCTTTAATAATGCACAGGTGAATCATAATAACCGCAATTTTGGAAGTGTTTGTAATCTTTACTGAATGGCTGAAGTCTAATGGTTTATTATAAACTTTCCAACAAACCTATGGTTCGATATTATGACACTCATACATTTTGTTCTTATTTTTTTGAAGATAATTTGGTTTAATTTATTTGAAAGTTTTAAAAAAAATAACTATCTTAGTAGAAATGATTAAGAACATGTATAATAATCTAGAGCTCCAGATAGATTTTTTTTAATATTTAATTTTTTTAAGCAGCTCGTAAGCTATTAACATTTTTGAATATAATATTAACCAACAGTTTTAAAAATTCATATGAAAATTATCACTCATCATTTTATTACTTTAAACAAAATATTATCACTATGATAATACATTCTAGTCAGTTTGTTATAGAATACACAGAACATTATAGTTTGTATTAAGGTGAATCTATAAATAAATTAGTAATAATATTATATTTACGAAAAAGGTAATATTTTTAAATGTTTAGTGTAACAAGACCGCATCCACCCACAACTAGTTTATATGTTTTGTGTAGTATAGTAAATTTATAATTGTCTGATTATTCTGAAATAACAATTTGAATGATAAACCTTTAGATAATACAGACAAATTTAAATACGAACAAAAAGTTTCTCTTATAAACGTGTTTTGACTAAGTTAAACCTTAAAAGCTATTGAATGGGGTTAAAATAATTTTATAATTTAATGATATTAAATATTGTTATGAATATTTAAAAACCCAAAGTTAATACATGTTTATCATGGTATGAAAATATTAAATTTTTAAGAATAATAAGTATTTAAATATTTTGTTAAATTTCGACTTTTAAAAAAAAAAAAAAAAAAAAAAACTTAAAACTTTTTGAAGTGTCTTACATTAAACAGATCACCCTGTATACAATTTAAGAAATAATTATATCAAATCAATAATATTAATATGAATATTATTATGATATCATTAGTAAATCATAGGACCATATTTTATCTACTTTTAATTTTTAATTATTAAACAGCATAATAATATAATGTTAATTTAAAAAATAAAAATATATATTAACATGATAATATATTGGTTAATGATTCATGATTTAGTTACTAAGTATTTATTTGCATTTAAATAAACAATGAAAAATACATTTTAATCCATTTCAAATAATATTCCAAGTTTAGTAAGTTATGCAAATCTTATTATTGTTTTCTTATAAGTTTTAATTTACCATCATATTACTATATAATAATATAGTTTGAGCTGCTGTGTCCATTAGGTATGCTAAAAAGCGTGAACAAACTTATCTTTTTTTCAAAGTGGTTAACCTTGACGCCATATCACAAAAAAGATAAATTAAATATAATCACAATAGTTTAATTTATTATTTTATGTCATTATATAGTATTATCTTACTAATATTTTATTTGTATTTATAAAATCTACAACTGTACCTATTTTTGTAATTAGAATATTAAACTATTTAAGAAAATATTAAAGTGCAGTTTAAAATGAAAAAATGTACCTACTTTATAAAATTTAAATTTTTTATGCACATATTGAACCTGAGAAATAATTATTATACACTATTTGCACAAATAAATCCTGAATAAATAGAGTTTAAAATATTATTATTTAAAATGTATAAATTTAAAAATAATAAATAACATTATATCATAATTTATAATGCTTATTGAAGAGGTCTTATTAACTTATTCGTTCCATGATTATTCTTCTTATTTGACGATAATAGACAAGACGCATGATATATTTGCGAATTGTGTACTAGTGTATACAATTTTTAAAATCCATAACTAGTTAAAAATGTATGAAATAATGATGCTTTTTTAATGTATTATTAATTATTTAATTTTTAATTTTATAAACTAATCACCAGATTTAAAAATAAATCATATGGATATCTATTTCTTATACTTATTCGCACTAAAAATTAATTATAAACTAATACATTTTTCTAACCATTATAAATATATCTCTTATATATATATATATATACATAATTTTTATAAAAAAAAATTAGATCATTGAAATAAATAATTTATAAAATCATAATTATTATTCTTGATTACACTAATAAATAATAATAATTTTTTCCCAAATGTTTTATTACTTATAAAACGTATCAGCTAAAATACTGATAATTGCAGTAGATTCAATAAAAAAATAAAATATATATGAA